CTCTAAACAGTGTGTGTGTGTGTGTGTGTGTGTGTGTGTGTGTGTGTGTGTGTGTGTGTGACCCAAAGAATGGTTGTATTCATGTCACTGTGTGGACACAGCATGACTGCATGGAGGAGAGGAGGGAGGGATAAAAACAGGGAGGAGAGGAAAAACTACACAGGATTTCACTGAAGGCAACAGAAGTCCAGTCATCATCTTTTAATAACATTTATATCCTAATGTTTTTTTTGCAAATAACAACACACCTGATACCATGCTGCCATGTCACACACTTTCCCCATAGCAGAGTGCATGTAGAGCACCAAACAGCTCAGAAAGTGCTGTTGAGATGGCAGTCTGAACTGTACTCTGTATTCCACTCTGTTCTTCCTGCTGCACTTTGGCCTACTGACTGTTGTGCAAAGTGGAAACAGCATCACATTGTTGTCACAGTAAAACAAATATTCAGTGAAGTTTTTTTCTTTCTTGCATCAAGACTTTATCAGTCTATCATCTTTATTGAATGTTGAGCGAGCGGTTAGTTAGCAATCTTTCTCCCTTAAGACAATTTAAATCCCTGAGGGGTGCCACTGATTCATTTTGATCTAAATTGAGCAAGGCTTAACTGAGGAGTAATAATTATCCACACACATACACGTTTATTCAAGTTGTACTAGGTACAGTTTGTGGTACTTTACTTGAGTGTTTATTTTAGACACTCTCAGGTTCCCTGTTCTTACGAAACTAGAATAAAATCATTATCTTACATAGCTAACCAAAATTAGTGAACATAAAATGCCACTTCAACCAGGTACATTGCAATGCTGCTTACATTTCAGGTTTAATAACCCTACTGTACTGCCACTTGAGGATTTTTACTATGTGGTACTACTTTAAGTTGAGAAAGTATCAAAGTCCTCACTGGTCAATAAAATAAGTTAGGTGGTTTGCATTCATTTAAAGTTCATTAATACTAACTTTCAACAGCTTATTATCTTAACTTGTGTGCTGACCTTTTCAAAGCCTTTTTCGCAGTAATACTTTACCAGCCACTTCCAAGTAGTCGTCGGATAGTTGAACATTTGTTAAGTCAGCTTAACATGCCTCCCTGATTCAGCTGTGTGCTAAAACACTTGTTGACACTCAAGTGATTTTCAACAGAAGGATGTCAAAATAAGGTGACACTTGAGTTTTACAACTTTAAGGCAAGACAAAAGGCAGTGCACTTCAATAACCTTTATTTTGTTTACAGATGTATTCCATTTTGAAGTTTGAATGGGGGAGAAGGAGCATTAGTGCTATTTACAATTGGTTTGAAAACTTTTATCTCTGTACAGATTTGAACCCTGATCAATATAAACAATATATTTTTTTTTTAAGACCTAGTGCTGTTACAAAGCGATTCTTTAAAGCAAAAAAACTCACAAAGAAAAAAAGGATTACATTAAATTATAAACAAATGAAAAAATAATAAAAAGAGAAAATAAAAATACAGTCCGTCAATGATTAGGGAGGTGTTGCTGCTGTTAAGCACAAGACATTGTCAGCGAGTGACAGTGAACTGGCTAGAAGCTAACCGTATACACAATCATGGACTAAACACCAATATACTGTATATCAACAAGATCTAAAGTCATCATGTTCTATATAAGATTCATATTAAATATAATCTACACGTTACCTTAGTTTGGAACATTACTTCCATTGGAAAAATATAAAATAAAACAATAAAACTTTGTATACATTTTAATTAATCTGATGAAGGAGCACATGCTTCCGTTGTGCAAAATGGACTAACTGTATTAATGCAGAGAGAGAGAATCAAGGAAAGAGTAAGAAGCAAATTAAGACGAATAAGGAACAATTTCATTCCGAGCTAATTTCCCTGCTCAAGAGCAATTTGTCATAGAGATCCTTCACAACACAGTTAGAAAAGAAGCACAATGAGCCTTTCCTCACAGAGAGAGGGGATGGTGCATCAGGGAGGGAAGGTAACTGACATGACGTTTCATTTTTTTACAACACTGGGCGGTCAGTAATATGCATGGACTGTCAAAACACAGTCACAAATGTCATGGACAAACAAATAACCAAAACAACACCACCAACACTGGTTGTTTCTCTATTTGTCTGTTTGTTAGGCTTTGTTTGGCTAAGAATATGACGAGTGAAAGAGTAGGATGCATCGGTCTCTACAGCACCCTGCAGACAAAAAGGAATAATTTCTCTCTTGTGACCTTTAAGGGCAGATGAGGGCAGTAAAAAGGACACCGGTGTGTCTATATATGTGTGTTTGTGTGTCCTGGTTTGAGTTTTCTGATCAGGCACGTCTAAGTCTGCTGCACCGAGGGAGATCACACAAGCACATATGGTAGGATGTGTATACAGGATGTCATAGTGTGTGTGTGTGTGTGCGTGCGTGTGTGTATGTGTGTTGGTTTGTTGGCGAGTTGTTAGTGGTTAAAATTGTCAGCGTTCTGTATGAGAAAACAAGGCCACACACACAAAATTGGGCACTGCATTACTATGACAACCAGCTGGAAAGAGGAGCCAGTTAGTAAAGGTATTTTGACACACCGGCCAAGGGGGGCTAGACAAAGTGTGTGTGTCTATTGCTTGTATGCTTGTGTACAAGTGTGTTGCAGAAGGCTTAAAAAGGTGTGCATTAAGAAAAAAAAAGGGGGGAAAAACACATGCAAATCCAGTTCCTTCCACACATTTTCAGTTATGACAACAAACCAAGTACAACAAAGGAATCAACTCTATTGTTAATCAATTTCCTGCTCTCAACTCTGTGTCCTGAATCAGCCAGAGCCTGCTGTCTTTCTATAGGTGTGTGTGTGTGTGTGTGTGTGTGTGTGTGTGTGTGTGTGTGTGTGTGTGTGTGTGTATATATGTGTGTGAGAGAGAAGGGGGTCAAAAGAAATAGAGAAGGGTGTGCGCGTGTTTGTCTGTATGCATATCCGCACTGTGGACAGGCTCCTGGACAGGGGACAGACTCATTAGGTCCAGGATGTTGAGGGAGGGTGGTGTGTATTTACAGAATGACACAGCAGTTACTCTCCCCGGTCTTCTCTCTATTCCTCTGACCTGAAAACACACACACACACACACACACACACACACACACACACACACACACACACACACATCATTATCAGGAAAAACCCTGGAATACAAGGTCATCATCAAACAAGATGCTATGGCCAATCAAATACATGCAACCATGGACATCTCACCAGCATGGCAACACAATTTAAAAGCGTATTTTAACCAACATTTCTCTTTTACCAAACATTATGCCTACTGCGAATTGATAGTTGCATTAGACCATGTTCAACAAAACATTGATTAATTGTACACCCCTTCCTTGCAAACTGACTAAAAAGGGGAAAACATGGCTCTATTTGTAGTGTGCTACATGTTGTGGAGCGAGTAACCACAGTAACCATTTGTGCTGCTATTTATTTAAATAACTTACCATTGCCCTTTAATATTTCTTCCCCAGAGGACATGTTTTCTTCTGGGGTTAACATGGGGTAATTATTTATTTGACCTTACCTTGAGTTTATCTTACCCAGAATGCATAGCAAACTGTGGATAGTCAATAAATGTAGCGCTTTGTGTGACCTTAAATGTCCCTCTGATCTCTGCTTATTGTTAGGTTGAATCAGTGCCTGTTCTAAACACACAATCAGCTTCTACTACACAAAAAGGAGACCAGTCAACTAATATGATTTATATCAGCTGTGCATTGTACACAATATGCTGTATCTTGGAGATATCCTTAATGGAGCCAATTATTTGCACTGGTGACTGTTCCTTAGACAGAAGCCATGTGTAGAGATAAATAATGTCTGGGAGCGGAACGATTAAAGTGGCTCAGCGTGTGAAAAGGCCTACTGAAAGGAAAGGAGGGCTTGTTACCTTGGGAATTTGGCTCAGGCAAAGTCTCTCTGGCAACTAAATGCATCACTGTGGTCTTCCCCAAGGGCAGTTTGAGAGCTACAGGGGAGGAGAGAGAGAGAGAGAGAGAGAGAGAGAGAGAGAGAGAGAGAGAGAGAGAGAGAGGGAGAGGAAGGATGTAAAGGTTATTCAGTGAGCTACAGCATGTCTGTCTTTTGTTGCAGAATAATAACTCCTTGCAGGTAACGAAGCAATTCAATGA